GAAAGAAAAAAAAGTAAAAGTTAAACAAAGGACGACGAAATTTCATTTTCGGACTCAACGCAAAACTCTAATTAATGTTTTTTTGGACTCCCCCGGAGACAAAGTGATTTTTTTTTTCTTTTCTTTCATTCTCTCTCTCCCTCTTTCTTTTTTTTTTTGTTTATTACTTATTATTATTATCATTATCATTATTATTAATGTTTTTTTTTTAATGGACGTGAGTGAATTTTAACGGTCGAATCGCGATTTTTCTTTCTTTGTCTCTTTCTCTCTCTCTCTCTGTTGATATTGTTTTACTTTTAATGGTAATTGATCTCACATAAAACGTCGTCCTTGTTTTCTCCCCTCCCTACTCTCCCTTCTCTCTCCTCCTTTTTCCTCTTTTTCACTCCTTAAATGATTTTCCCGCCTTTTTTTTTTTTATTATTTAACTTTATTTTTTAAAGCCTTTTGCCGCATACGGTAATAAAACGTTATGAAAAAAAAAAAAAAATGTAGGAGTCCCGCTTCGGGAAAATAGGAATAATAATAATAATAGTAATAATTTTCAATTAGATTTAATTGGGGAGGAGCGAAGCGTGGGGGCAGAGGTGTGTGTGTGTGTGTGTGTGAAATTTTAGGAAAGGGAGTAGTAAAATGTAACCGCAAGTTACATGTTATTAATAATTCACCTTAAATTTTCTTCTTTGTTCTTTTCCCCTTCCTCTCTCCCTCCTTCTCTCTCTTTTTCTTTGTCTCTCTTTCTCTCTCTTTCCACTCTTCAAGAGTGTGAAAGAATTTATTAAAAGGAAATTAACGAGGAGGAAAAGAAAAAAAAGAAAAATAATAATTAAAATATCGACAATTAATTAAAAATAATAATACGAGGGAAGTAGAAGAATGAAATTAAAAAAAGGAGGAGGAGGCGGAGGAGGGTGTGAGGGTGTAAAACAAACGCGACAAAATGAACAAACAAACAAACAAAATCTCCCCCTCCCCCCACGCGCCCGCGAGCTTTGTTAATTAATTAAAAATTAATTTATCGAACAAATAAAAAAAAAAAAAAAAGTAATAACCGTGAATTATCTTAAATAATAAAAAAAACCGGAAATTCGATCGTTGCCATCATATTGAATTGTTAAACGCTTTTTTATAGGGAGGGGTTAAGAGCAATCGGAAGTGACGTAAAAAGTATGAGTGAGAGAGAGAGAGAGGGGGGGAAGGAGGGTTAAAAAAAGTAAGCTTCCTGAATTTTTTTTTTTTTTTTTTTAATGAAATTAATTCGTTAATGAGAATTGTCAATAACACTCCAAAAAAAAAAAAAAAAACAAAAGAGAGAGAGAGAGAGAGATGAAATCACGTTTTTACAAATAATTATTTTTCGAGAAGGTGAAAAGAGAAAGAGAGAGAGAGAGAACGTGTGCGTGTGTGAAGGATGAAAATGGGAAAAGGTTAAAAGGGCAAATTATTTTTTTTTTTTTATTTTACATTTATTTTCAAATAAAAAAAAAAATTTTTTTTCGCTTTTTCTTACCGGGGGAGGGGAGGGAGCGGGAAAGTGGGAAATAGAGGGGGATCGAATTTTTTGATGGTCGAAAATAATCCCTTTGAGAAAATTTCATTTTCCCGTTTCGCCTTTTTTTCGGGGGGGGGGGAGGATGGAGGGATGAGGAGGGAAAAAAACAGGACCCAAAAGAGAACCCATAAATTTCTTCCTCACTCATGTTTGCCAAGGGAACAATTTTGTTTTTGTATAAAATATAAATAAATAAATAAATTATTAAAAATAAAATAAAGTGTGGTGGGTGGGTGGGGGGTCGGTCAAAGGTCAAGTAAAAGAACAAGCTTGAAAAAAAAAATTTTGTTTTTGTTTTTGTTTTCCAATTGATTTTTGGTTCTTTTTAAATTTTAAATTCGATTTTTCTCTATCTCTCTCTCTTTCACACGCACACTCTCTCTCTCTCTCTTTTATTTTTTTCTCTCCTACTACGAATAATTCTTAAGAAGAAATTGGCATTTAAAAAAAAAAAGAAAGGAAAATAGGAGAAGGTAAAAAGAGAGAGAGAGAGACAGAGAGAAGAAGCGAATGAATAAGAAAAAAATATTTCATGATGAGTCGATGATAATAATGATGATGATGATGATGATAAAAAATAATGTCAATTTGATGAATATCCCCCTCCCCTCCTCCTCTCCCTCCTTCCTCTTCCTTCTCCTCCTTCTTCTTTGGAATTCTCCAGAATCGGAATCTTTTGATTTTTGTTTTCTCCTTCTATATTATGCGGGAGTTGACTTGTTTATTTTTATTATTATTTAGATTTTTTTTTAATTGGAATGAATGAATGAAAATCATTTGCGCTGGAAAATGTGAAAAATAATAATAATAATAATAATAACTGGAAAAATTGAATAAATAAAAAAAAAAGAAATCGGAAGAGAGAAAAATCAATTTTTTTTGTCGCATGTTTTCTCTCTCTCTCTCGCTCTTTCTCTTTCTCTCTTTCCCCCCTCCCCACTTTTTTTTTCATTCGTCTTTCGATTTATTATCACGAATCAGGGAGCCTCGTCTCCAGTATGCGTAACAACGGTAATAAAAATAATAATAATTATTATTATTATTGTTGTTGTTACGCGATAACGTCGTCGTTTGAATTTTTTTTTTTTATACGATCGTATATGCGTATATCGTTCGATTCGATTTTAATTCATTTTTCCCCCCCCCTTCTTTCTTTCCCTTTGAAACTTGACGTGGAAGAAAAAATCAAAAAAAAAAAAAAAAAAAAAAGGACGTAAAACTTCTTCTTCTTACTCTTTTCTCAAAGGAAAGAAATTTTTTTTAAAATGATTGATCGATTGGTTATCAATGTCCTTCCTTCGGCAGGAAGAAAATTTTTTTTTCTTTTTCCTTTTTCCTTTTTTTTTTGGTTTTTGGAATGAAAGAGTTTTCTCGAAAGGTTTTTGGAAAATTTGTCGAATCGAATTCTATATGTATACAAGTTTCAATGGAATTTCTTGTTGTTGTTGTTGTTTAACCGTAAAAAGTTTTTTTTTAATGCGGATTATCAGATTAGATGCGCGCGGTGATCGGCGATGATGGCGATGATGGCGGCCATTCATTCATTTTTTAATTTTTTTTAATGGACTCTTACTGGAATTGTTTCTATTTGAGTGCAATTTCGCGGTTTTGTGTGTCTTTAAAAAAAAAAATCACGCGGATTTATCCCCTCTCTCTTTCTCCCTCCCCCCTCTCTTTTTGTCATTTGATAACTGTTTTTAAATTGAACACTGTTGCGTGTGTGTGTGTGAAACATTTGAATTCGTGTCATTTCCTTATTAAATTTATTATTAATTTTAATTCTTAATTTTAACTGTTTTGTTTGTTTGTTTGTTTGTATGTTTGTTGTGAGGCGTTTGTATGGATGTTATCGTCGTAAATTGCGTTCCTGAATATTTGTTTTTTATTTGTACATCATTACGCGTTGTTGTTTACTCATCATTATCATCGTCATCCAAATCATCTTTCTATTTTTTTTTTCATTTTTCTGTACCGGTTACAATAGAAATTCCTTTCGCTCTCCTCCCCCTTCCCTTTTTTCTCTTTTGGATGTGCAAAGTGTGAAAGGGAATGAAATGAATAGAGTTTTCCTTGCTAATTTTTCGTTTTTTTTTTCCCCAACCCCTCCTTCTCGTGGCAGGAGAAACGATGAAAGAAAATTTTTTTTTTTTCCCCTTCTCTCATTCCCATCGTTATCATCATTATCATTATTATTTGATCGTTTCAACGGCAGTTATTTTTTCCCATTCTATCGACCTATTAAATAAAATCTTCTTTAAGAAGAAAAAAAACCGTAGGTAAGAATATAAAGGGGGAGGTGGGGAGGGAAGGGAGGAGTAGAAAGAACAAGAATAAAAGAAATATATAAAAAAAAAAGAAAAATGAATGAAAAAAAGAAATCAAAGGATCAAAGGAAAAGGTTAATAACGGTTGTTTTTCTTTCTCTCTCCTTCACTCTTTCTCTCTCTATCTCTACAAAAAAAAAAGAAATAAAAATAAAAAGTTTTTTTTTTTCTGGAAAAAAGTTGGAAAAATGAATGAAGATGAGAGGATGAAGAAAAAAAATAGAGAAAGGGAAAGGAAGGGAGGGGAGGAGTAGGGGAGGGGAAGGAATTTCTCGTTAAAATGACGTGTATATAGATTTAAGGAGAAGAGAATGACTGACTTATAACTAAAAGTGATGAATTTCCTTTTTTTTTCCATTTTCCCATGCGATCCATCCATGTCGGGTAATGGTTATTAAAACGGTTAAAGCGAAATGACAACCCGAATTTATCATTCATGCACCCAGAAAATAACATATATATATATGATATTCGAAGAGAAAGTGGAAGGAGAAAGGAAAAAAAAAAATTTTCTTCCTTTGTTGTTGTGAATGAATGAATGAATGAAAAAAGGAAAAAAAAGAAAAGGAAAGTTTAAAAAGGAAATAAATGGAAACTTGCTGATAAACGTTTCGGTTTTTAATGTTTAAAATAAAATAATGTGTGTGCGTGTGTGCGCGTGTGCGCGCGTGTGCGCGTGTGACGTTTCTCGGTTGAAAATGGTAACTTCCCTTATAGCCTTTTTGAAATTCTAAAGGTTTCTTATCAAGAGAGTGAGAGAAAGAGCGAGAAAAGGATGCATACAATAATAATAAACATTGTTATCAGGAAATTTTTACTCTATGGAATTTATATTTTTGACGGTTTCGAATTTTATAATAAGGCCTTTCTTGGAAAATTTTCCTCCACCTCCCCTCCTCTCTTCTTCCCCTCCAAAAATTCATTTCAAAAAAAAAATTTTTTGTTTTTTTATAGTAAATAATAATAATAATAATAATAATAATAACTTGTGTAGTCGCGATTCGTGATTTTTTCTTCGTCTCGTGAAAAGAAAAGTTTTTGTTGACAAAAGTAAATCTCGGTGATGATATACCATGGGTTGAAATAAGGATAGAGAAAAGGAAGGAAGAAGGAAAAGAGAAATGCGAAAGCACGCAAGTCAGTTAGCGGATTACATTGATAAGCAAAAGGATTTGAGGGAAAAATGTTTGATACAATATCAGAAACAGGTTTTGGAGAAGAAGAAGGAAAAAGATGCGGAGAGAGGAGAGGGAACGAAAGATGATTACAATTCGTTCAAAACGAATTCTTGCGAATCGATTGCAAATGCGGCAACGTTCGTGCTACGAGCGGGTTGGGGTGACGAAGGAGGAGGACCCGACAGCATGTCGGGTTGTTTTGGAAGGCCGTCGAAATGGAAAAACAATGCGAGAACTCCGGCATCGCCGACGAAGCGTACGAAAAATTTACTCGATCCCATAAGGAGATGGAATTCGTTTCACATGCGAGATAGGAAAACGACAGCGAGTCAAATGAAATCCCTGGAAGAATTTCGGAGAGAATTTTCCACGGAAAAAGATGGTTCGGCGGTGGAAAACGTCGTGGCGACGCCCTCGATGGCCGCCACGGGATTAATGGGAGCACTGCCGAGAGTTTTGGCACTCCGAAGCGAATACCATCCCTCCGACATAACCATGACGGAAACGATGCAAAACAAGAAACAGCTGTCGGTCGAAACGGAACACGTGGAAAAATCGAGAGCTTTCAGTCAGGGTGACGTTGGTAAAACGCTGCCGTTGCACTTGTCGGAATTGAGAAAGGAAAATGGTATGACGCTGACGAAACAAGTCACGAGAGATTTGCTCCTACCGTCTAAAAGGAATTCGAACAACAAGGATTCCAACGTGAGCGATGATGGAAAATCGTCAAACGAGGGTAAAAAATCAGAAAAGGTTTTGAAAGGGTGCGCGACGGAACCCGCGAGATCGCGAACTAGGAGCGAAGGTGAAAAAGACGATAAAGACAAAATGATGCGATCGAGTCCGAAGAAATTGATGCGTAAAAAAACGAAAGAAAATTTATACGCGAATTCGATGCAGGGAGATAAACCGAGGAGATGGAGCGAAAGAGATGACGAAAGCGAAAAACTTGTCGTGGAAATAGGTGGTAAATGCGCGACATATAGCAGGTTATCGTCGTCGTGGGATGTCGACATTGATGCCGAGGATTCGGATTGGTAAGGCGGAAAAGAAAAAAAAAAAATTTTTTTTTTTTTCCTCTCTTTTTTTTTTGTGCATCCGTCGACCACTGCTACCACGTTCTTTTCACATCGTTATTCCCGCCACTCCTCCCCCTCCCCTCTCCTCCTCTCACGCTTAAAGTGTTTTCCATGTCGAATACTAAATATTTTTACCGCCTTTTTCTTACGGAATCGTTTAAAAAAATGGCGTGTTGAAAATGATAATGATTTTTTGTTTTTGTCGAAAAACCAAATGACACGACTTTGATTTTATAATTCCACGAAACTTTCTGTCGGAAAAAGGGGGAAAATTTTTTTACTTTTATGACGTCATAATTTGAAACTTAATATTATCGTGTGTGTGTGTGTGTGTGTGTAATATTAAAGTTTCTTTGAAGATTATACTCTCCTCTCGTCGTCCTAAGAGTTTCTTCTATTTCATTCCTCGCCTTGGTGTATTCCTCTCTCTCGCTCTCTCTCTTTCCTTCTCTCTCTCTTTTCTAATTTATTACTCTGGGGAGCAAAAACCCGATAAATTGTGGGGTAACCTCCGTTGGAGGATTTTACCGTAAGAAATAAATAATATACAAAAAAAAAAAAAATTCGAACGGGTCAAATATTTTTTTCATGAATAAATAAATGATTCGTTTTAAAAAAAAAAAAAAAGGAAAAAGGTTTCGAAAGGTTCAAAATTATAAAGAGAAAGAGAGAGAGATAGAGAGAAAGATGGAGAATATAAGTCGTCGTTGCCGTCGGACAATTTTTAAAAAATTTTTTTTTTTTTTTTTTCCCTCTCGTGTATGATGACCGTCGCACTCATTAATTTTTTTGTATTTAAAAAAAAACCGCGAGAGCGCGCGCGCGCGTAGTCGCACTGGAGAGGAGAAATTTGTCGCAAGATGGAAAAAAAAAATTAATTAATAATAAATTTTTTTTTTTGTTTTTCTATCCTGTAATTATAACGTTGTATGATAACCTTTTAACCTTTTAACCTTTGCAATTTTTTTTTTTGGTTTTATCTCGCGAGAAATGTAATAAATTTCATGGAGGTTCGCGGAAGTTTTTTTTTTTTAATACGACAAAATATTCGTACAAGCGACCGTGTTCCACATCTATGTAATAATAATAATAATAATAATAATAATAATAATAATATCAATTATTATTAATGTTATTATTAATCGTTTAATTGTTTCGGTTTAATTAGGTCAGTCGGTTATTCGAATCAAGGTTAACAAAATAATAATAATAATAATAATTGATTGTTTGTTTATTTATTTATTTAACGTACGGTTCCGGTTATTTATTAAAACAACAATAAGTCAATAAATAAACAACGTTTTGGAATGTTTTGTGTTCTTTTCTGGGGGGCGGGGGGAGGAGGGTGTGAGAGATGGATGTGACGTCATTAATTTGATTGATACGAAAATACGTTTCCGTCGGAAGGTATATGAATGTTTGTATCCTGCATACAGCTTGAGATTTCGATTGTTTCTCTCTCTCTCTCTTTCTCTTTCTCTTTCTCTCTCTCTCTTTCTCTCTCTTTCTCTTTCTCTTTCTCTCTCTCTCTTTCTCTCTCTTTCTCTTTCTCTCTCTTTCTCTTTCTTTCTCTCTCTCTCTCTCTCTTTCTCTCTCTCTCTCTCTTTCTCTTTCTCTCTCTCTCTCTCTTTCTCTTTCTCTCTCTCTCTTTCTCTCTCTTTCTCTTTCTCTCTCTTTCTCTTTCTCTCTCTTTCTCTTTCTCTTTCTCTCTCTCTCTTTCTCTCTCTCTTTTTCTCTTTCTCTCTCTCTCTCTTTTTCTTTCTCTTTCTCTTTCTCTTTCTCTTTTTTCCTCGTCGGGCAAACACATCGTCACGTCGACAGATCAATGCCCTAATCTTCCCGAATAAAAGAAAACCGTAAAAGGAAAGAAAAAGGTTTTAAAAGGTTAAACATGAATCTTATGTAAGAAAAAAAAAAAAAAGGTTCATGGAAAATTATTAATGTAATTCTCAGGTGTTTAATTTTTTTAAATGTATTTTTGATACTTAATGTTTGTTTGTTTGTTCTTTTTCTTCGTCTACTTTATCTTCTTAGGTTTTTTTTCTTAGGGTGAAATGACGTCACATCCTTTTATCAGATTTTTGTTTTAACTGCTTTATTTCTTTTTTTCTTTTCTTCTTTACCTTTTCACCTGGGAATGAAAAAAATTTCTTTTTTTTTTTTCTTTGGAATCCTTTTATCTTTTTTTTCTTCTTCTTCCCCTCCTCTCTCTCTTACCTCCCTTTCGTGACGACCTTTTAACCCTAAACCTTTTTCTATTTTTTTTTGTTGGGCTCCTCGTGCACTTTTCGAAATTGTTCGTGTTGTTTTTTTATTTCGTAATTTATTTTTAAGGATTTTCGAAAGGAAACGGTATTGGATAAAAAGAAAATATGTGTGTGTGAAAGGGAGAGAGTGATAGAGAGAGAGAGAGAGGAAAAAGGTAAAAAAAGGAAAAATGTAAGGACGGACGACGTTAATGTTTTAATTGAATTTTTGTATTTAAAATTATTTTCTCTCTGGATTCTTTTATTTTTCCGTAACGGATTTTTATCATTATCATCATCATTATTATTATTATTTTAATTTAATTTTCTTTTTTTTTTTTTTCATTACAGTTTTGGGAAGAGATCTCGAGGTTCGGCTCGAAGGCCGAATGAATGTTTCGTACTCGAGCCCTCCGATATGATAGCGGTGAGTCGTTAATAATTTTTTCTATTACCACGGATTTTCTTAAATAATAATAATGATAATAACCTGTAAATTATTTTATTATTATTATTATTATTATTATTACGTTTTAATTACTTTTTAAATTAATTCCGCGGAAAAAACTTTTTATTGAATTAAAAAAAAAAAAAAAAATTACATAACGAAGGAACGTGAGAGAGGAGGGGGGCAATCTTTGGTTTCTTTTTTTATAAATTAAAAAAGGAATTGATTACGTCACGAACCGATCGTGTGCGAATTATTAATGGCGGAAGTTGAGAGTAAAAAAAAAAAAAAAAAAACTTTTAATTCATTTATTTATATGTAAAAAAAATTATCTCTATCTCTCCTTAACTTTTCTGCGAATTTTTTTTTTTAAATTTGATTAGTGAAACGATTGATTATAATGTAATGTATGTTTGTTGTGTTACTTTTGCCGTGGCATTAGAATATTAAGTTTATTTATGCTCTTTCATGAATTATAATAATAATAATTGCCGTGGATTTAATTTTGCTTGTTTTCTCTCTCTCTCTCTCTCTTTCTCTCTCTTCGTATGTAATCCGGGTTACGTTAAAAAGTATTACCTTGACTCATGAAAAATTTTTTTTTTTTTTTCGGTTTAAATGTCAAATCTTGATTTTTTTTTTTTTTTGCCCAATAGTTGATCAGCAACAAGTTTTTTTTTTAATTGGTCACGTGAGAATGTTTTTGTGTTGCTGAACTCGACGTTCTCTCTCTCTCTCTCTCTCTCTTTCTTTCTCTCTTTTATGCAATCTTGTAGTTTTATGACACTTGAATTTGTATAATTTGGTGTTAGGAAGGGAAAAAGGGAATGTAAGAAAGGTGTCGTCGACGACGAGGAAATGATACGAAATTCGACTTGTTGCCTTTATCGAAACGATTCGTTTCCTTAGAAGGAGAAAAAAAAATACGCGGAATTCCCCTCATTGATAGATCGAGTCTTTGTTCATCGTGAGTGAACTACTGACCCACTTAAAAATAATACGCGAGCGTCCTACTTGCGATCGATCGATCGGTGGATTTGTCTGGCGTGTCGATATATCGATCGATCGATCGATACTCGCACAACACGTGAATTTACTTTGTTTTAAAAAATTTGTTTTTTTTTTGGGCGTTTATTTATTTATTTTTGTTTACAACTCTGTCGTCTCTTGTCGAATATTTTAATTATAAAATTTATCGAAATTTCCGCCATTTTTATCCTCTTCCTCCTCCTCCTACATTTTATATTTTCCACCCCCCCCCTCCCCGCATGTTTTTTTTTATCGGTTTCCGTTTTTTAATATTTGATGTTGATGGGAAAACAAAAAACAAAAAAAAACCGCGAGAATTAAATAAAAATTTATTGTGGGGGAGGGGGGAGAATTTTTTTCCCCCTCATTCAGGACGAGGGTTTGTCAAAAAATTTGTGAAAAATATTAAAACCGGGGGAGCGAGGGGCGAAAAGGCGGGAGCTTTGATATTTTTTCTTTATTCGTACACGCGCGGTAAAAAATTTTTAATAATTGTGTTCGTATAGAAAAATAAAAACAGTCAACAAGTTGTTTTCGTTTTTTTCATTTTCTCGGAAACGGAAGCTGAGAAAGAAGTCACGTGAGAGGGAGATTGAAATATAGGATTGGTTTTTTTTTTTTTGTGTCTGTAATATTGGCATCATTGATTTGTTTTTGTTTTTGTTTTGTTTTATTATCTTTTTTATTATTATTATTCTTTTATCCTTTTTCTCCGTTTGTTTTTTATACTTTCTCTCTTTATTTTAAATTGTATTTGAAATCATCCTTTTGGTATTTTCTATCTCTCTTTCTCTTTTTTTTCTCTTTTCTTTTATCGAGAGAAAAGAGTGAGAAGATAAAGATGAAAAAAAAAAAGAAAGGAAAAACGTCGATGAGAAAATATTATATCGTCGACGGGGAAATCGTTTTCTTTCCGTTCTTGTTGCTTTTTTTTTTTATATTATTATTATTAGTTTTTTCGCTTTTTTTTAACCCCCCCCACTGCTTCTGCTGCTGCTCTGACTTCTTTGCTGCTGTCTGCCTCCTATCGTTTCTTACATTTTATTTTTACACGGTAATTTTATCGCGAGTCGATTTCGATAAATCGAATTCGCGCTCTCGTTGATTTTTTTTTTACTTTATTTTATTTTTTCAATTCGAAAAATTTTCTCCGTAATCTTTTTTTTCTCTCTCTCTCTCTTTCTCTTTTTTTGCGTTGCATCGACCGAAAACGTTTCTTTCTCTCTCTGTCTTTCTCCA